GGAGCCTCACGGCCGACCCCGTCACACCCCGTTATTGCTAGGAGCACCTCAGTAGTAGTTTGCTTTACTAATCGACGGTGTCTGAGCTATGTTTGAAATGAGACCTACACCCCACTCTGCACTCTGCTTCTCGTGTGGATCCAAATTGCCTTTTATGCTTTCTTTTGACCTGACAGACGTCCAGCGTTTCCTGTGGCGCATCTGGCTGAGACGGTCTCTCGGCTCTTTTGTCTACAATAAATCTTCATTTTGCCTCCAGTTTTGAAATATACTTCCATTGTGTATAGAATTTTGGTAGAAAGGGTTTTTCCCTTCTCCTGGCACATGGAAGACGTCCCCGCAGCCCTGACGGAGGGCGAAGTGTCCTGTGTCTGGCCCCTTCAGTGGCCTCTTCGCCACAGGCTCTCTGCAGTTTTGACTGCTGTGCCTTGTGCTTTTTAGTTTTAATATATATATTCTTAAATGTTTATTTTTGAGAGACAGAGTGAGCAAGGGAGGGGCAGAGAGAGGAAGATGGATCTGAAGCAGGCTCTGAGCTGACAGCACAGAGCCTGACGTGAGGCTTGACCTCAGGAACTGTAGGATCATGACCTGAGTTGAAGTTGGACATTTAACTGACCGAGCCTCTCAGGAGCCCCTAAAGTTTAATATTTCTTCTGCTAGGCATTTAATGAAATTTTTGGAACATGGTTTTTAATTGCATGGAATTTGGGTACTTTTGGCTTGCTCTTCTTGAAATTCTATTTCTTTGCTCCCCTTCTGTGGCTCCATGTGCTGAGTCCCTGGATGTCACTCTAAGGTCTCTGTGGCTTCATCACCGTGTCAGCTCCAATACACCCCCCTTCGCCATGCAGCGCCGCGTCTGCGGCCGACCCCCTGCAGTGCAAGGTCACCTCGGGTGTCCCCTGGGGCCTTGAGAAGGGGCTCTGTGTGTCTCCTGGTCTCCCCTGCTGCTCGGTGTCCCTCGGTGCTTTTGCAACTGTTATGCATGTTGTTCTGCACACGTAACGTCATGTCCGTCATTTCTGGGCCTGGTTTCCAGTTGACTGACCTTTCTCCTGGTTTGGGGTCACACGCTCCTGCTTCTTCGTGTGACCCACGAGTTCGAAGCGTGAATTCTGCGTCCTTCCTCCCGGGCTTGGTCGTCTTCCTTAAGGTAGGACTGGGCTCTGTTCCAGGCGCAGTAAACTTACTTGAGGGTCACTGCGATCTTTTGGGGCTCGTGTACGGGATCTCAGGGCACTTCTGCAGTCACTGCAGCCCCCAGACTGCTTCACGCTGCTGCTGAGGTGCGACCCTTTGCGGTCACTGCCAGACACTGCGGTGCTGGTGACGGTGATGTCCTCTCCCCTCTCCCTGTGTGGGGAAGGGTGGGGGTGGCCTCCCTCGTACCCTGTCTCCTCGGCTGAGGGGCATCTTTCCGTGTGCAAGCACATCGTGTGTTTGTCCACCGACGAGGGGACCAGGAGCCCCTGGTGCCTCATCGCCTCACCCCTGTCTTCTGCCCCAGGGCAGCTGCTGCACCTGGCGGGTGCCTCCCTCCCTTCCCCCCCCCCCCCCCGCTTGTAGGAGGTGCCAGAGGACGAGCCGTGGGGACCACAGGGTGCACCGGAGGCTGTCTGGGGTCAGGGCATCCCTTCCCAGCTTTCATGCAGGGGAGGGGGAGCCGGGGCCTGCTCCCCTAACACAGAAGCTCAAGTATATCTGCTGCCCTGTGTTGTCATCCATGATGAAGTGGCTTATGTTTTGGGTTTAATGTCCCTCTTCCGTCGGCCAGCACATATCTCTGACCTGAGAGCCAGCCCTGTGACCCGCAGCTGACACGGTGACCTCTCTGTCCTCCCTGCCTGTTCCTCCTCTGTTTCCTATGCTGGTGGCAGCCCCCTTCCGTCCCAGTAATGCCCACTGGACACGACGTTCTCCATCTGCCCCTGCAAGTCCACACCCCCCTCGCACCCCTGGGTCACTGCCCTGTGCTGCGTGCAGAGGCCCTGCTCGCGCTGTGCGGTCACCGTCCCTCCGCTGCCCTGTCCGACGGCCGCCTCGGTGTAGGGTCTGGGCGCACACGGTTCGGGCGAGCCCCGCCCCCACAGCCCCAGCCGCCTGTATGCGGACATGGCCTCTCTCGGGGTTCCAGCCCCTTCCTGGCTTAAGGAAGAGGTTACGCTGCTCCCACTGCAACATGGAGCCTTCGTCTCCCTCATGCAGCCCCCCCCAGCTGCCCCCAGTGTGGCTCCGCCCCCTCGGTGGTGTCCCCTGTGGGGGCTGCCACACCCCTTGGCGTCCCAGCGGGGAGAGGGGGAGGGCGGTCCAGGGCTAGCAGCCTCCTTGTAAGAACAAGGCGGGGACTGCACTCGATTCTCTCATTCCAGGGTGAGAGGTGAGTCACGGGGCCCCCCGTCCGCACCGTGTGGTCGGGTGCTCGGACCAAGGAGAGACTGGTCTGAGGGAGGCAGCCCGGGTTGCCCCACAGCCTCAGCCGGCATCCGGCGTCCCCTCTGCTGAGGTGGGAGCCCCCCACACCCCCAGACCTCCGTGGTGGGGGAAGGCCGTCCAGGTGCTGGACTTGCTGTCCTTGCTCCCAGGCTGGGACCCTTTCCCACCCACCCCTGCCCTGTGCATTTGCAGTAGCTCCTGGAGCAGCGGTGGCCGTGGCTACTACATGTGCCTCAGACCCCATGGTGGCGGCGGCGTGTGGACCAGGCTGGCACGCCCACCCCGCCGTGCAGGGGCCTCCCAGGCACCTGCCCGCTGGCCAGAGTCCACGCCAGCCCTGGACGTGGCTCCTCAGGGTGGCTTTGGGCCAGCCCCCTGCCCCCTGCACCCCTGCCTCCCACACCCTGCACCCCTGCTCCTGCCCTCCATACCCCTGTCCCTGGCACCCTGCACCCCTGCCCCTCACACCCCTGCCCCCCAACCCCAGCCCCCCTGCTCCCTGCACCCCTGCCTCCCACACTCTCCACCCTTACCCTCACACCCTGTACCCCTGCCCCCCTCACCCCACACTCTAGCCAGTAAGGGGCTTGCTTGCCCGCTTGCCCACCCCTCACCGACCACGAGGGCTCTGCACTGACTGGCCAGTGGAGCAGGGGCTGGAGAGCTGCATCTGAGGTCTGGCCTCTCCTGCTGAGAAGCCAGCAGCCCTGCCCTGTGGGCCGCAGCCCCTTCCCCTTTGTAAAGGCTTCAGTTCCAGTCCTGCCTCCGCCCTTTCTGGGGCCACTCTCTCCGCCTCTGGGAGCTCAGCTGTGTCGTCCCTGGTTTGGAGACAGAATGCCTCAAAGCCTCAAAGCCTGTGTCGCCTGGAAAGACGCTCGCCCTACGGGGTCAGGAGTAGACAGGGCCCTGGCGGGGGCAGGGCTTGGCCCGGGGCCCAGGCCACAGTGTGACCCAGGGGATGGGACTTGAAGAGATGTCCAGAGGAAAGTGGCTCTGAGAAGGGATAATGGGTGGCTTTGTCCCAGTGTAAGTGACTTCTGGAATCATCTGCACACAGACCTGGAGGATAGGAACAATTCTTGGAGCCGGATATTTCTTGGAGCCTGTCATTTAGTGGGTGAGGCAGGCGGCCGGGCTGGGCCCCTGCCTGTGTCTGTCCTGTAGGAAATCTCACACCGGCCTCCCCGCGGGGAGGCCCGGAGGCCACAGCTCCCCACCCCGTCCACCGCTGCGTTAACGTCAGAGTGCGCTCCTGACCTTGTCGTCCTGCACCGGTCCTGTCCAGGTCGGGCCCTTTCAGGCGGAGGCGCCAGCCTCCCTGGGGGCAGGTAGCAGCGGGCAGTGTAGACACACATGTGCGTGCTTCCTGTCCGAGGCTGCGTCAGGTGAAGGGCCCCGTGCGTTCCGTTGCTGGCTGGTGGCCCCTGTCCAGGTTTTGAGAAAGAAGCCACTGTGAGTGTCTTGCACAAGCTTTGTGTGGGCACGTTTGTGTTTCTGTGCGGGGCTGCCCAAGGGGCTGTGGCCGGGCCAGGCAGGACCTCGTCCCGTGAAGGAGGCGGACTTTTCCGTAGCAGCCACAAGAGTTTCATGCTCGCCCGGCGGAGTGGGCCTTCGCATCCCTGAGACTCGGTGGCGTCCACACGGTGATCATGTGGTTTTTAGGTTGAGATAAAGAGTCTCCACGTTACCCACCTTAGCGCGGCCGTTTCTGAGGTTTGTAGCAGATCCTGCAGTGTGCGCACCCATCGCCGTGAGTGATCCAGAGCGTTCTGTCCCTCCAGCACAGCCGTTAGCAAGCATCCCCCCCACCGGCTCAGCCCCCCAGCAACCACGGCTCTGCTTTCCGTTCCCGCGGACCTGGACTCTTCCCGCATGGAACCGCGTGGCGGGAGGCCCGTGTCCGACCGCGTTCACGGGTGCAGCGCTGGGCATGGCTCTGCTGTCAGCACCGCTCCTTCCCGCGGCCGTGCGGCGTTCACTGTCGGCTCGGACCCCGCGTCACCGGATGCCGCCCGTTGGATTGTTTCTTCTTTCTTTCAAAAATGTTTGTTTTGAGAGCGAGGTCACTGGAGTACAAGCCGGGGAGGGGCAGCGAGAGGGAGAGAGAGACTCAAGCAGGCCCTGCTCTGTCAGCAGAGGGCAGGACGTGGGCTGGATGCCACGTGAGATCGTGACCGGAGCTGAAACCAAGAGTCAGATGCTTAACGGACGCTTAGCCGGGTGCCCTCCCCGCCCCTCTGTCCCCCCCCGCCCCTCCCCGCCTCCATTGGCTTGTTTCCGTTCTGAGACTCACACAAAGCTGCAGGCACCACGGGTGTGCCCACCGTTGTGGGGGCCTGGGCTCCTGTGTCCATCAGGGGCATCCCGCGTGCGGGGGCAGGGGCAGCTGGTACCGGGGAGGCCTATCTGAGGGGCCACCCTCACTTTCCTCCTTTTCCAAGGGCTTCAAGTGCCCCGGGGCGGGCTTGCTGATCCTCCCATGATGCCGTGGGGGCGCCCCAGCGGGAGGGCGTTGCTGCGCCGGCAGCTCCGTGAATCTGTGTGCTCCCCCTGCTGTCTTGCAGCCACCCAGGTGGCCCCAGGGGACCTGCAGGAGCTGTTCCAGCAGACGTCGGCCCGCATCTTCACGATCAACTCCAGCGGTGAGTGCACGCCGAGCCCGGCCTCCTCTACCCTGCTTGGCGGCTCCAGTGACCGGAGGAGGTGGCGTGCCCTTGGCCTTCCCCTGACTTGGCCACCTGCAGCCCAGGCCCTGGCGTCTCTCTCAAGACAGGGAGGGCTGAGCCCTGTGGCCTCAGGGCAGGGTGGGTGTCCCTGCTCACTGGCCCAGCCGCTCCCATGTGCCTTGTACTTCTGGACATGTCCCCACGGGGGAGGGTGGCCTCAGAGCCTCCCTCAGACTGACAGTGCGGGTCAGCTTGTGGGCCGAGGGTGCTGGGGTCAGGAGTGACAGTCAGGTCTCACGGGGCCAGGCCAGGCCTCATCCTTATTGGCTCTTGCAGACGGTGGGGAACAAGGGCGGGGCAGGGCGGCAGCGAGGACACGGGGGGCTCACCGCCCTCTGTGGGCAAGGTTGCTGTTTGCCCAGAGCCCTGAGCTCCGTCCGGCCCAAGGGAGAGTGTGCCCGGGCGAGGGGAAGGACACCCCCAGACCCAGGCCGAGGCCCCTGGAGGTGGCTCCCAAGAGCCTTTGCGCCCACAAGGGCCTAGGGGCCTGTGCCTAAAGGGGGGAGGGCCCTGCCTGCGGGGTCCTGCTGGGGGTGGGGCTGGGCTGCGGCAGCGGTTGTCCCTGGTCCTTTGGGTGGTCTCCCCATCCTCCCCCCTCCCCCCCCGCCTCTGCTGGAGCCTGGAGGCTTCCTGGGGGAGGGCTTCCTGTTCCTTACGGTTGTCCTTTCTCCTGGCAGTGACCTCCTTGGAGCAGAGCCTCCAGTCCCTGGGGACGCCGAGTGACACGCCGGAGCTGAGGGAGAGCCTGTGAGTGTGTGCTAGTGGGCGTGGACGTGGGTTTGCCCTGCGTGTCCACGGACCGAGCCAACAGCTGCCTGCACCCCATGCCTGCCCCACACATCCGACGGCCAGCCCAGCTGTGCTCCCAGCCTGGAGCTCATGCCTGGCGTCACCCTCGGGGGGGCGCACACGTGTGTCATCTGCAGAGGCCGCTTGCACCCAGTGGACATGCAGGCTGGGCTGGGGTCTGTGGTTTTGATTCTGCCCCCGGGGGGTCCTGTTGGGCTTTCCTGTCGGGGTGGCCTGGAGGCCTGCCCTGGCAGGGACTGGGTGAGGAGGGGCCTAGGGGAGGTTCTCCTGACAGGAAGGCTCCCCAGGGGCTGGGTCCCTAGGGGAGAAGAAAGGAGACCTGTGCAGGGGGCAGCCTGGCTGGCAGGGGGCGGGGCAGCTCTGCTTACGCCCTGCCAGCCTGGGCCCGCTGGTGCTTCCTAAGGGCCCCATGTGGTCCCGGCCTGGTGTGGGCTGGGAGGTGGGGTGGGTCCTGTGTGAGCCTGAGCCTTCGGCCTGGGAAAGACGGTAGTGGGGGGGGTGGACCAGGCGTGCTCTGGGGGGTGGGCTGCGGCCAGGACCTCAGGTCTCTTCCTGCCATTGACGTCTGTTGGAGAGGTCACAGCCCCCTCCATCTGTGTACCCATCACCCGTCCATCTGTGTACCCACCCCCCCACCCCCCCATGCATTCATTCCTTACCCCTGCACCCACCCCGCCGTCCGTCTACCCCCCCATGCGTTGGTTCACCCATGCACCTACCCACCCGCCTCACCCATCCCTGCGTCTGTCCTCCGGCCGTCCACACGGGCACCGGGGGCCAGTCCTGCCACATTTGGGGGTCCAGAGCTTGAGGGAACTGGGGGCCCTTTGCAGATTTTATGTGCAATTCTGTTTTTAATTATTCTTTTTATTTCTTTTTTAAAATAACGTATTGTTTTCTGATTGTGGAAGTAGCATATGCTCACGATAGGAAATTTGGCCACACAGGATGTCTGAGGAGGCGCTGTAAGCGATTTGGTATTTCCTGCCAGCCTCTACTCAGATCCGTATGCGTTTTGCAGAATTGGATTTCAGTGAATGATGTTCCGGATCTTGCTTTTTACTCTTGGGATTCTGGGGTGCGTGTGCCCTCAACACACGCCAGAAATGCCCTTCAGGGCTGCCGGGGACACTGTTGATGCTGCGTCACGGCCGAGCTGAGGCCTAGAGCTGGATCTCCGGCCCTTCCTGCCTCCTGCGTCGTGACCAGGCCGCGGGGAGTGTGGTTGGGTCTTGTTTGTCTGTGCCGGTGTGCGTCCCTGCAGTGGTGGCCGTGGGTCAGGCGATGGCATCTTCAGGGCCCCTGGCCCTCGAGCACGTTTCCTGGGCTGTCTCGCCCAGCTGGCCACAGGCCGATGTCACCAACGTGGGCGTGGCGTGGAGTGCTGGCTCCTGCACCTTTCAGGCCCGACTCAGGGCCTGCCCGCTGTCGCCGAGAGCTGCCGGGGCCCCCGTCCCGCTGGCTTCCACCCTCAGATGTAGACGGTCCGGCTTTGGCAGCTTCCTGCCTCCCCCGACCAGAGCTGCCTCCCCCGATCCTGAGGGACAGCTCCTAACCAGGCTGCAGGCCCGGAACCTTCCAGGGCTGTTCGTGGTGGAATTTGTGCACATCAGGACTGTTAGCGTTTTTAAATGACTGAACGCAGCGTAGGGACCAGCTGTGTTTTCTTTCTCCACGTTGACAGCCGCTGGCTTTTTTATTTTGCCAGATAAGGACATTAAAAAACGTCCCTTATGGCATCCGTTATTACTATCATTTTATGGAGGACAAGACGTTTCAGTATGGCAGAAATAGATGGGATCTAATCTCGCGAGAGGACGTTCCTTCAAGATGAGTAAAGCTAGTGACGAAGGACCTCGTGCTGCTGAGCCCGAGTTTCTCACCTCCCACGAGACAGGCCTGGGCTTTGCCATCTCTGTCGGGACCGTGAAGGACCCTGCCTCGGGCTCACCTTCCTAGGCTCCCGGATTGGCCGAGGTGCCAGGTTGGAGACCTTTCGCCCGTGGCGTGAGGCTCGGTGACAGCGGGACCTGGTTTGTCTGTGTTTTGGGGGCGTCGCCCAGAGTGCTGCTGAGCATGGGGATGCTCGTCCAAGGAGCCCTGACGGCCGGTCTGCCCGTCACACCCTCAGCCTCATAACCACGCAGCGAGTGGCCTGGCTCCAGTCCGCAGGGCCCCGGGCACGGCGTCAGGATGGCCTGGCTGTCGTTAGCCTGAGTCCGCAGCAGGCAGGGTGGCCCTGGCTCCTCGGGGCAGGTGTGGGGGCTGGGCTGCACGGCTGAGTTCCGGGGCGGCGGAAGCCCAGGCCGGCCTTCCCCTCTGGTTCTCACGCTGCGAGGGTTGCCTGCACAGGGCTGGGGCGCCGCGGACCCCCGGGGGCGGTGGGGCACTGGAGGCCCCGGTGAGCTGGGCTCCGGACGAAGACGAGTGTACCCTGAGGGGCAGGAAGCAGACGCGGGTGGGTGGCCTTGCCTGGGGTGCGTGGGTGGCGCCCCACGCCCCACCTCCCACCACTCCGCCTTCGTGTGGGGCGTCCCTTCCCCTGAGCCTGCCCAGCACCACCCCTGCAGAGGCTGGGCCTCCACTTCCTCCGCCAGAGGCTCCCTGTCCTGCCCCCGTGACCGCAGACAGCCTGGGCCGTCGCTCGGGTACTGGCTGGGTCCCATGCGCCAGGGCCCTAGGGCTGCAGGGTTCCTGCCCTCCAGCGCCGCCTGCCTCTTTTATTCCGGAACCCCTCCCTCAACGCCCCCCCAACACCGTGGCACCCTCCCCCCATTCCCCACCACACCCCCAGCACCCCACCGCCTCTGTAGCCTGGTGCTGGGGCCGGCTTGGCCCTAGACCTGTGTGCTGACCGGCTGCGGCAGTGGGCATGGGGAGGGCCAGCCTGTCCCCTCCCGGCTGTGTGATGGGTGTGTAACCTGGGTGGACCCAGACCCTTCTGGGTGGCGACCTGTCGGGAGGAAGCAATGGTGGGTCTGCGCCTGGTGGTGGGCCTGGCCCCGCAGAGATCGAGTCAGGCGGGACGTCGGCCCAGAGCAGGGGGCGGGCACACAGTGGGTGCAGAGGGTGGCGTGGGGAGGGGGCAGCGCTCCTGGAGGGTGTGGGGCCGCTGGGCTCCAGCTCAGGAGCCAAAGCTCCGAGCCCCTCCCACCCCGTTGCTGGAGACGGTGGCATCTGGGGCCTGTGGGGGAGGCTCACCCATCCGCCGGGTGTTTTGTGGGGTCTCTGCTCGGAGACTGGCCCGAATGGGGCAGCTGTGTGTGGGGACGGGCTGGGTGGTGTGGGGCCCTGACCTGTCCTCGGGGGCCACAGCGGTGCCCCCTCCTCTCAGTTGCCGGGCCGCCCCACCTGTGTCCCGGGTGCACCGGTGCACACTGGGTAATGGAGGCCACGCATGGCCTGGCCCCGGCCCTGGAGCCAGCCTGTGTTCTCGTCCCAGCCCCGGCAGCCACCCCCTGCCTCCCTGGTTTGCCGAGCTTGCTGTTGTTCCGCTCCAAACGGGTGACAGAGGGGACCATCTCCCTGGGGCTTCTGACGGGCCGCCTCGGGGCTGCAGGGCTGCCGCTTCACCCTGTGCGCGTCAGGTGGCCCAGTGGGGGTGTGGGTGAGAGGTGTCCACCCAGGTGCTCCCCGGGGTGCGGGGCCGAGGCCCTGGGGGGGGTTCACGGAGGGACCCCAGGGGAGGTCCTGGCCCCGTGCGAGCAGCACTCTCCTCCCCACGGCAAGATTTGTGTGTCAGGATCGGCACCGAGGGGACGGGTGTGGGGGGCCCTGGATCAGGGTGATCCGCACTGCACGGGGCTGCAGCTCTCGGAAGGGCTTTGTGCCGACGGCCCCGGGCTGATGCAGGGACACTGGACAGGCTCTGTCCCTCCTCTTCTTCCTGTTACACCGTGGCTATAGATGCCCAGCTGGTTGTCACTCAAGAAGCGGGGTGGGGGGCACCCTCTGCAGCCTGCTGTCATCACTGATCTGCGATTGACCCTCATCGCCTGGGCTGACCTGACACCTGCCCCTGACTCCTCGGAGCTCCTCTGGGGTCAGAGCCTCACTGGCCAGGTCTTTTTTTTTTTTTTTTTTTAACACACGAGGAAACTGAGGCCGGGGAGGGGGAGCTTTCCCAGGGCCACAGAACGAGAGCAGAGCTGTAGAGGACTGTTCTGGGAAGTGAACGTGGCATGCACCTGGCCTCGTGGGCCTGGGGACGCCGTGGGGACTAAGACATGATGTTGGGCTCCATCTCCAGGGGAAACCGAGGCCAGTTCAACCACAGAGCGGGTGAACCACAGGTCGGCGGGGGCAGCGTGGAGGCCTGTGGTGGCTCCAGATGTCTGGGCTCTGCCGGGAGCTCTCAGAGCCGCGGCATCTGGAAGCTTCTTTGCTCACGATGGGCAGCGACTGCCGCTGAACTCAGCTGGGCGCCACCTGCAGCGGCCGCACATGGTCTCTCATGGCGCAGTGGCCTGCCGGGCGCTGGTTCGGCGTGGGCTCTGGGCAGACGCACCTGCAGGGATGGCGGAGGCCGGCTGGACCCGGGAGCAGGGACCTGCTCCACCCCTGTGAGGGACACCCTCTCTTCGGCTCCCAATGCCTGTAACACAGCAGTGGACATGGCTCGTTGGAGGAGCCCCAAGGAGAGGCCTGCAGCCCAGTGAGGGGTCCTCGAGGTGGGCCCAGGGCCTTGCAGGCCCAGCAGGTGGCTTGGGCTTTATTTCCAAAGCAGTGGAAAGCCAATGGAAGGTTCTAGAAGGCAGTGACATGATGGCTGCAGGCTGTCACTGTGGGTGGAGGGAGCCCTGGGTGGGGCCTGGAGAACTGTCCCCTCGGCCTGGCAGGTCAGGGGCTGTGCTCCGTCTTGCCTGGTGGCATCGAGTGCACAGACCCCTCCCACCTCCGATGGCCAGGCAGCTGTGCATTACTGCAGCGCCTTGGGA